GGAAACAGCATTCCACGCAGTGGGATGCACATGGTGGAAATTAGCTTGAAGAGGTGGGCAGGTGCCAGCAAAGACCTGTGCCTTTCATGAGTGCCATGAAAGCCACCGAGGCAGGGGGATAAGTGAGCTGACTCGTGTGTCCAAAGGTCTGTGGCTGCTGTGGGAAGGAAATGTAGGGATGAGCTTGAGGCAGGGACTGCACTGAGATCAAGGCCACCATGGGAATGTTGGCAGGCAGGTGCAGGGCTCCGTGCAGGGGTCTAGGCAGGGCTGGCATGCAAGGTCGGGACTTCCATGCCTGGAAAGAGGACACATGGAGGCCAGGAGGGCCCAAGCCCAGCAGGCAAGGTTGCTGTGGTTACCGGATGGGCCCAGGAAACAGGGAAGCCAGATGCCTAGTGAGAAGGATGGTGTCACACACCTCCCATGAGGGCAGTGGGAGTGACTTGATGCTGAGGAATAAAGAGGATGCTAAAGAGGATGAGCCCTTTAGGCCCCAGGTCGGGACTGCATCTGGGAGCACATCCTGAGCCCAGCTGTGGAAAATGGAGGCAGTGGAGGCTGGAGCCCCACTGGGCTCAGAGCACTCCACTGGCTGGAATGAGGGCAAGCCAGGGAGCAGGCATAGGAAAGCTGACTGCCTGGTAGGAAACCCAAAGGAAAGAAGCAGCTTCTTGAGTGTGCAGACTTGGTTCACAAATAGGAGAGTGGGAAGAGTAGGAGGGAAAGACGTCTGGCTCCCAGGCAAAAGCATCCAGAAGGATGAGGAGGCGGTCACAGAGGAACCAATTTAACAGTGGCAGAAACCGTCAATCAAGATAAAACTGACAGGGCCAGGCACAGTGGCTCGTGCCTATAATCCCAGCATTTTGGGAGGCCCAGGCGGGTGGATCACCTGAGGTCAAGAATTCAAGACCAGCCTGGCCAACATGATGAAATCATGTCTCTATTAAAGGCAAAAATTAGCTGGGTGTGGTTGTGGGCACCTGTAATCCCAGCTACTTGGGAGACTGAGACAGGAGAATCTCTTGAACCTGGGAGGCAGAGGTAGCAGTGAGCCAAGATCACGCCACTGCACTCCAGCCTGGGCAACAGAGCAAGACTCCGTCTAAAAATATATAAATATATATATATATATATATATATATATATATATAGAACTGACAGGTCCAAACAGGGAAGCTTCCTTGGTCAGTAGTGTGGACATGTGTCCTGAGTCATGTGTCCCCAGGTCACATCCAGCTCTGGCCCCAAGAACCTAGGATGACTGAGTAAGCAGAGAGGAGTCCACAGGGTTGTGAAGTTCATAATTCCTAACACGGGGTGTGCGTTCCTGCGGTGGCCATGCAGAATGAGGAGAGGACGAGATTGCACAGGTCGCGGCCATGCTAGAGGGGTTTGACTTAAGTCTTGCTGGGACATAATGTGATCACATGCCTTCTCTGAGTCTCAATATACTCAACATACTGGACAATAAACTTTGTCAGAACTACAATAGAGCAATAAACATGATGTTAGATTAAAAAAAACCTACCAAGCTGAGGGGTCCACACCATCCACAACAGTATAGAACATCAGAGGGTTCTTGCCAAAGCATAAAGTGAAAACAGAAAAGAAATGCCATGTGCTCAGAGGAGTGACGTGTCCAGCCACGCCCTCGTCTCCTCTCCTTCCTACCTTTCACAGTCCGCCTCTAAGCTTTCACCCCAGCTTACTCCTGTGGGTTCCAAATGTGGATCCCAGAATCAAGAAAACCTCCTAGGTTCTGTAAACGAGAATGATTCACATCACCAGTGTTTACTTGCGCCCTCACCAGGCACAACTCCGGGGCTGTGAGGTCCTCGGGCACAAGGCACACCTTGTCCTGCCTGCCTGTAGGGCCATGGGGAGTGTTACTTGAGCCCAGTGGATGGCAAAGCCAGGCTTGCCAGGAGCGAGGAATATTCCCAGAAAAGAGGGGAGAAGGGAGGCTTTAGAGCACTGGGGACGATGGCCCAGAGGAGGCCCGGTGTCACTCTAGGCTGACCAGGACTGAGCCAGGTCGTGCTCAGGGATCCCAAGGGGCCGGCAAACAGCTCAGCAGGGCCACAGCAGGTGCTTCCTTCAGAACAAATGTGTGGGGAGGGGACCAGGAAAGAGGGTGCCTGTCAATGAGACAAGAATAGCACTGGGTGGTCACAGGAGCATGGAAAACCCAAACAACAGCGAAAACAAGAACAAGACAAAAAAACAACAAGAGAGCAGAAAACCGAAAGGAAGAGAGCAAAAACGGCTGAAATCCCACTCAGGGTGACTTGTCCATGGCTCTTCTGGGCAAACTCAAAGAAGGGAGAAAGGAGACAGTAACCCAAGAGGTTCCCTGAAATCTCCTCCTCTTCCAGAACACCTAAGAATTGTTCCATCCCCTAATTAAAGAAACGCCCATAAAATTAGAAACCCAGATTCTGCTGGGCGTGACACATTCTCATGAGCACGCCCGCACTTCTCTTTCAAACGTGTACTTTCGCTTCTCACTAGCAGTTTCTTGCCCTTCCTATCATTCTGACTCATTCCTGAGTTCTTTCTCAAGACAGTGTCAAGAGCCTGGACATCAGCTGGGGGCTGGGGTCTCACAAGCATCTGGAGAACCTTCTGAGTCCTCTGGCAACATCAAGGGAAGGAAGAGAAGATTCCTCCGTGGAGCCCGTCCCCGCACACTTCCCGCCCTGGGACACGGCACGGCTGCTTTGCACCAAGCCTCACCCTTGGCACTCGAGTCGGCTGTGTTCCCTATGATCCATCTACCCGCTGTCTCCAGGACAAGCACTGTCCCATTCACAGAAGTCAGCACATAGTAATGCTGGATAAGCGAATGAATTAGTGAATGAGTGAACAAGTGAATGTGTGCACAGCTCATTTGTTTAATTGGAGTCCCGATATTGGAAGTGAATGAATGGAAAAAAAATCAGTCACCAGACCCCAGGTCCAAGTCATGAGATGTAGCAGCTGAGTGACCTTGGATGTAGCATATCACTTCTCAGAGTCTCACCTTCCTTAACTGAAATGAAATCAGGGAGCTTGCCCTGCCACCCTGCAGGGATATGGGAGCAGCAAGGGCTGGGTAGGCACCCAGTCAACGTAAAGCTCACAGGCTGTTGCCACCCTTCAACACAACCCCAGGACATGAAGCAGATCCTGTACATCCTGGACCCTCCAGCTGAAAGCTCTTTGGGCTCCTGGGCGGGGCCAGCCCCCAGGCTCCGCAGTGGCATGCCCAGACAGTTCCAGAAGGCAGGACCAAAGCAAAGAGCCGGGATCCGAGTGGGATCCTGACCTGGGATACACACATTCCTCAGCGTGCTTCCCTGCTTTTCCATTCTTTATAAATCAGAAAATTAATTACCAGAAAAAGGATCTTCTGCACCAGAAACTCAAATGAGTTTAATGTATAATTTATACATGAAAATGTAGATGTCAATGTGTGACAAATCTCTGTACAAATATTTTTGCAGTTAAAATTTTAGGCATCCGTCTCCCTCCCACAAGAGTCATCATGCAGGCAACGCGAGTCCCCAGGGCTCAGGCCGGGTGGGGCTGGCAAGGTGGCTTGTCATTCCACCAGGTAGTGATGCAGCTGCCAGCGCAGCCCAGCCCGGAAGGCCCCAGCCTTGGCACCAGACACCTGCAGCCAACTCACAGCTCTGACCCAACCTCCCCGGCAGCGTCCTGCTGTGTCTTTAACACCATGTGCCAGCTCTGTGCTAGGCCCACGGGAGGAAGACAGAGTGGAGTAAGGCCTCACACACCAGGGCCTTTGAGCCCACTGGAGAGCAGGCAAGCAGACGAGGAATGACAATGACAGGGTGGCAAGTGCCAGGGCAGGGGTGGGTCCTACATGCCAGGCAGCCACAGAGGAGCAAGTACTGCCCTATGCAAGAGCATCCGTGAACATTCCGGGGCAGGGGGCCAGCCCTGATGGAGTCTGTCAGGTGGATGAAGGCAGGACATTCCCAACAGTAAGAGCCACTCACGTGAAGACCAGAGACAAGAGCAAGCAGGTCCAGATGGTGCGAGCATGGCCTGTGGCACCTGATGGGGAATGGCCAGCAGTGAGTCTGGCATGGAGAAGAGCCAGATCACCAAGGGAGCTGTGTGCTCAGCCCTGAAACAGGACTTTGTCCTGGATTGAAAACTTCAAAAGGCGAAGCCTTGCAAACTGTAAAGTGCATGCAGCATCCACAGAAACTACCATCCCCAGCAGGATTGAGTCCTGTGCCAAGCCAAGCCTCAGCGGCCTGCCAGTTTCTGGCCCAGGGGTCCCAAACGACTTCCTTCACCCCCAGGTGTACCAGTCCATAGGATTGACTAGCACAAGACTTTGCATACAAAACACCTGAAATGTAGGCTAGGCCCTTGCTTCTCATCTGCAGTTGCCACGACCATCTGGGGATGGTCATTCTCTGTGTGGGATGTTCCCTGATGCCCTCTCTCTGGATGCCCAGTGGGACTCCAGGGACAACCCACAGCATCCTCCTGCTGGAGGACCTGGCGGGAGAGGCACAGTCCACAGATGGGGCCCTAGCCGAGAACTGGTTTGCCACGCCTGCCAAGGAGAGAGGAACTGCATGTCTATACCACACTCTGGCCCAGAACCAATGGCAAGGGTCACAAACATGCCCTTGTTCACCCTACCATTGCCAACCACGTCAGAGCACAATCTGAAGTCTCAGTGGTGTCTTCCCAGAACTCAGGCCTTCCACAACAAGACAAAGCTAGTCCAACTCCCCCACCCCGATAAGGGCCCCTGGGCAGCCTCTGCAGCAGCCTCGAAGCCCTAAGTTCCTGGCCAAAAGACAAAAGCACAGGCTCATGGGACCTGATGCCCACAGGACAAGGGTTTCAAGCCCCCAGGCCTCATCACCCCAGTGCCCATCTTGAAGAAGGACACAGCCTGGCCCTGCTAATTTTTCTACCTCCTGGGGGACTGGTGGCCCATCCCTCCATGACTCCCAGCCACGTACCTCGCTTGGTCTTCGTAGGCCTGAGACCTTTGTCCTGGGCCAGGGACTCCCAAGTCTCCCGCTCCTTCCAGCGCCTCAGCTGCTCCTCCCGCATCTTGTAGAAGAGGATGTGCTTCTGCACATCACTGAGCTCGGCGAGGAGCTCAGGGTCGATGTACATGTCGTGCAGGATCTGCTGCAGCATGATGCCACCTGGGATGCACTAACCAGAAGGGCAGCCGGCCGGGGAAGCAGGGCCAGGCGGAAGGCCCGAGGGGCTGCTCTGCACTACAGGCTCCTCAGTCCGAGGCCACTCTCGGTGCCCCTTCTCTGTGCAGCAGCGTCAGTTGGCCTCAGCTTGCAGCCAGCGACAAACTCATCTCCTCTACCCAGGACAGCAAAAGAGGCCAGGCAACAGGACCCAAAGGGGCAGCTGGGACTCTGCAAGGGGGAGCACCCACTAGGAGCAATCTAGTCCTTCTGCTGGGTCACCAAGCATGGCATCCCAGCAGAGCCCATGTCTTGGCCTCACCTGGGGTTCTGGGACAATGGGGAGGGCCCAAGCCTCCAGCTCAGCCAGGAAATGCCCAGTCCCAGCCCTGCCTGAGCCGGTAGGTGTCAAGTGATCTGTTAGTGGAAGGTAACAATGACACCAGCTGTATCAATGACACTGCCCCGGCCAGCTGGGAACCGATCTCTCCTCTGCAGATAAGAGGAGGAGAAGGAGGCAGACTTGCCTACTAAATTCCATGTCTTTTCAGCCAATTTCAAACAGAGACCAGAGGAGCCTGCCAGGAGCTGCTGGGCCCTTCAGCCCTCTCAGTCCCTCTCTCTGCAGGTTCCTTCGCTGCCAACTTTCTTCCTTTCCAGAACATTTGGCATTCTGAGGTGATGCGTTTAAAACTCTGCCTTGAGGGAGGAAAGATTTTTCCTCCTATCTGTGTTATAGCCAAGAAAGAAAACAAAATGGAATCAGTAGAGACAACTGGAGGGGATTTTATCACGGAATTCCAGGACAGAAAGGAAGCAGACATCCTTTGCCTTTGGCCTATAATGAGATCCTGCAGCCATGCGTGCGCTGACAGATAAACTCTCCAGGGGCCACTTTTAATGGTTGTTGTTAATCTTCTTGTTTGTTGCAGATGTCTGGAGTTGACCAAAAAGAAAGAAGATGAAACTGGCTCTCCTCTGTGCCTGATCAGAAGCACACTGGAAGGGCGGGATGTTGACTTCTGCTGGGAGGACTTCTGCTGGGAGGGAACCCACCCACCCTCTCTTTGATGTGTGAAAGTGAGTAGAAGCTGCTGTTGCTGAGCTCTTTAGGGTGAAAGCTCACCCTAAATATGTGCTCAGAGCTAATCACAGATGCCCTTTTATTGGGACAAGGATATTGAAACTCAGAGAAAGTAAGTGGCTTGCCTATGACTTCCTAATGGACAAGTCACCATTGGGACTCCCCTATTTTGAAATTTGACATCCACTAGCAGCTATGAATCTGTTGATGGTTTGAAAACATAACCCAACCAGGGGAAAACAAATGAACCAACAGGATTTGGCACTGTGGCTTGGTTGGATTGGTGACCTTCCTGTCCCCTTCCTTACCCATGAGGGTGGAAGGTGGATCAGGTACCCAGGAGTGATGGAAGGGGGGTGGAGAGTTGGCACTCTTCCCCCTCTGCAAGGTTAACACAACAGGAAGACGGACTAAGCAGGTTCAGATGAGCTGTAAGCCCACAGGGTCAAAGCTCCTGCTCAGCTGGGCAATGTCCAGGTCACAGGAGTAGAGTCAGGCGCCCCACCCCTCCCCACCCAGGTCCAGCTGGCTGGTCCCAGTGTGACCCAGACCCTCCTAGAGCCGCCACAGGACTTGCCTGTCCCCTGCAGAGCTGTGGTCCTGGACTCCAATCCGCCCTCCTCTCCCACCTCAGGGCTTGCACCAACTCCCCAACCGGGAGTCCTGGCTCCCTTCAGTTTCTGAGACCGAGGGTCTTCCCCAGCCTCCGCCCAGCTATTATCTTTCTCGCTCTCGCCGTGGCTGGTGGGGGACCCCCAAGTCCAGAGTGGAGACAAGGGGAGGAAGGCTCCCAGGGTCTGGGGTCCTGCGGGCAGCTTCTTTCTGTCTTTCCCGGGCTGCAAGATGCCTACGACCACAAGAGGGCACGGGGCAGGGACAACGCTGTAGGGAGCAGCAGGATTGGGCCGGCTGGAGGCGGGCGAGAATGGTGATAGTGCCACCCTGGAGGAGGGTGAGGCGGCCAAACTAGAATGACCCCAGCTAGCGCCCATTTTGTGCAACAGAGGGGACCTCGCTGGGGGTGGGGTGATTCCTGGCACTCCCAGGTCAGTGGGGCAGGAGGCCAAGAGACACCGAATCGCGGAGACGTGAGCGTGACCCAGCCGCGGATGGCAGCCCGGGAGCGGGCGGGGTGCGGTTTCTGGAAAGACCAGCTTCGGCGCCCGCGCGCCTGTCAATTCTCCTGGGCGGGGGCGGCGCTCGGCCCGGCCTGGGGCGCCCCCTGGCGGCCGCACGGGGAGGCACTCGGCTTCGCAACCCGAGTGTGTGGGGCTTGGGTGCGGGAGGACCCCGGAGGACCCCACGAGCAGGGGTCGCGCCGAAGAGCAAGAGTCCGCGGCTGGAAACCAGGCAGGGGAGCCACGGAGTAGTCACACAGGTTTCCTGCCGGCTTTCAACTGGTCTTATTTTGCTTTCATTTTTCATCAGCCCATGTGGCGTGTTTAATGTTGCACGCGAACGCAGTTTCTTCCGGGCCCTGGAGGCCCACGCACGCAACAATGTTGTGCAAGTGACTGGAAACCACTTGAGTGTCCCTCTGTGGGGGTGAGTTGCCCAGCATGGAGCTCTACTCCTGTCACAATGAAGTCGACTGTCTGTTTTGGCGAGGGAAGTGATCACCGTTGAGAAAATGAAAAGACGCCATGCAGAATACTGTGCACAGGGTAATTTATAAACTTCTGTATGTCTGATTGCTTTTGTGAAGACAAAGGGAAGAATACGGAAGATCCTACTCCTAATTGTTTAGCATTGCTTCTTAGCTCCTTCTTGGAATGGGGAGAAAGATGACACTGTAGACAATTCTGTGTTGTTTTATACAATGAGTAGGATATACTTACATAATTCATATGACTGAACTATAATGCATTTCAAAGGTTTTCAAATGTGATATAAAAGAATGGACTTCTGGAGGTTCAGCATCTATGGAGCAGGGACCCACCCTAGAGAGGGACCTGCAGGCAAACCAGACCTGCCTATGCCAGGAAGGCTAGGAAGTGGCAATGGAGAAACCATCCATGTCCCCTGGGGTTCCTGAGCTGGAAGCGGGCTTTGAGGCATCTCTTGGAAGCAGCTCTGGCACTGGTGTGGAGAGGGCACTGGTGTGGAGAGGGCAGGAGGCAGGGGGAACAGCCAGTGGACTCTGGCCAAAGTCCAGGAGAAGATGATAGGAACTGAGTCAGCCTTGCCAGTGGGAGCCAAGGAGGGCAGAAATGGGGGTCCCAGAGAGTCATATCAGGCACTCTGCTTCTCCATAAAATCCTTTCAAATCTGAAGTCCATATGACCAACGATGGCCAGACAGCCCCATCATCTCAGCGCAGCTGAGCCTGGCACAGCCACACGTAAGGATCGGTGATAGCAAGTGAGAGTCTGGAGTAGTGTCTGCCTTGTCTCCACTGAAAAATTATGGATGTCAAAATCAACAGCATCTCCTATATGAGTGCAACAACTACTTAGAAAATGCCATGTGAAAAAAAGAAAAGATCCTTTAATTTGGAATGAATTTAACAGTGTGGGGACCTGTAATGAACAAAAGTAAAAATCTTCGCTGAGAGCATACCTAGAATTTAATTAAGTTTAATAGAATTAAGTTCATATAGGAACACACCACACTGACACTCAGAAAGACCCCGTATTGTCAGATGTGCCATTAATCTGTGTATTAGCCAGTCTCCAATATGGTTCCAATGATGCTCTCCTCCTGGAACTCATACCCTTGCATAGTCACTCTCGCATGTATTAGGGTTGGGCTGAGTGACCAGTCGAATATGCCAGAAGTGACATGTTCTAACAGACAGATTACTGGTTGCACACTCTGTCTGATAACTGACTGTGGGGGAAATTACATTGTGAGAGCCAGGTGGAGAACTGAAGCCTCCCACCAACAGTCATGGAGTGAGGTTGGAAGGGATCCTCCAGCCCTGGCCCGCATTTTCACTGCAGCCTCGTGAAAGACCCAGAGCCACAGTCACCCAGCTAAGCTGCTCCTAGATTCCTGACCCTCAGAAGGGTATGAGATATGTATGTGCTGCTTTAAGGTGTTAAACTTGGGGATAATGTATTATGCAGCAAAATGTAACTCAATATGTATTATGAGTAATACATAATACTCAAAATGTAACTCAGTATTATGCAGCAAAATGTAACTCAACTTAATGTATACATTGAATATCATTTCGAGCCAAGACTGAAAGGAAATTGGGAAGTAGAGACTTGATAAAATGATTCCCAAGTTAACCAAAAGAATGAACAGATAAGAAGCAGCCTTGAAAATACTGAGGAATAGTGAACTCTATATTGTGCCACTATTCAAATTTATAAAATTAAACATTTTAGTTCTGATACAAGAACAGGTAGGTTGAACCAAAAAAGAGCTCTACTAAATCATTATTATATGATCAAAATGGCAGTTCAAAGTAGTGCAAAGAGGGTGAAAGCTCAGTCCCAATGAAGCTGGGACAATTTGCTAGATCCTCACCCGTGATCCTGCCAGCACACCCTTCAGTAGTCATGTCCTCTGGGGGTTCTGTGCATACATAAGAATAATTACTGCAACATCCATCATAACACTGAAAATTTCAGAGTAAGTGATGTGTTCAATAAAAGGGGTTTAGAGTATAAACGAGAGCACATCCGTAGGATAAAATGTAATACGGCCACTGAAATTGATGTTGAGAAATGTATTGGCCTAGATGGTGCTAGTGACGTGTTCGTTGGTAAGAGGGAAGACAGGTTTAAAATACTATGTGTAGCAATGTCCCAGTTTTACATATCTGCATCAGGAAAAAGAATCGTTCCACTCCCACTGCTTTCTAAGGAGAGAAAATAAGTTCTATTAAAAGGTGGAGCTCCAGATCTGGGCAGGATTCTTGCTAGGTTTGGAGATGAAGCTGTGGGGGATGAGCTCAGTTCCTCCACATAACACAGGCCAGGAAATTGGGGTTTCTGAGCTGCAGAGACAACAGGGGAAGAAGAGGGGGAGGTGGCCATACAACCCAAGCTTGTGGCCCACCTTGCCCCAAATCTCATCAAAACTCGTGCTGTGAGATTTTTTTATTACTTTAAAAAGTGAATTTAAACTTTATTTTTTTTTAACGAATTTTCTCTAATTCTGCCAGAATAGAGGCAGGGCTCAACAGAGGTCCCTAAAGGACACAGGAGTTGGGGACACATGGGCTGCCAGGAGCAGGAGTCCCCAGACACTGGCAAAAATCATGGGGAGGGCTTGGGATTTTCCTCACCATGGGATCAGTGGCATGTGTCTCTAACAAACAAGCACACCCACACTGACATTGTAAACAACTGTACACACACACACATTCATGATTACAACAGCAGAGCCCAGGCTTGCAGCCAACCCGACCTGTGTCACCCAACTTGCCAGCCCAGAGACCTCCCAGGTCCTCCCTCCCATGACTCCCTTTCCTCCTCTGTGTGGGGGTAACCACCGGGGGTAACCAACAGGGTGCGCCACAGGGCTTTGGTTCACATTAGACAGACAAGGTATGCATGAGCCAGCCAGGCACACAGCAGATGATAGTGTGAGTTCTGCTTCTTAATCTGGGGCCTGCTTCCTCACTAACTTAGTGCGTCAAAGTAATACTGGCTGAGGGAGTGGGCTGTGGTGGCTGATTCTGTCTGACTAGTGAGCATCTCCAAACTCCAGGTTTAAAAGAAAAATTCTTGGCCAGGCGTGGTGGCTCACGCCTGTAATCCCAGCACTTTGGGAGGCCGAGGCGGGTGGGAGGTCAGGAGTTCGTGACCAGCCTGGCCAACATGGTGAAACTCCATCTCTACTAAAAATACAAAAATTAGCTGGATGTGGTGGCGTGCGCCTGTAGTCCCAGCTACTCGGGAGGCTGAGGCAGGAGAATCACTTGCACCCAAGATCGGGCCACTGCACTCCAGCCTGGGGGACAGAGTGATAATCTGTCTCAAAAAATAGAGAAAAGAAAAAGTCTTGAGTGCTGGACAGGCCTGTGACTCAGGTCTCAGAACGATAAACAAGAGAGAAATACACTGGGTTTCTATGATAGTCGCTAACTCGGGGCTGCTGGCAGTCATGTTCCCCTGCAGGGGAGAGGTCTGCGTGCCCTAAGAGAGAGCTGCCGGCATGCAGAGAGAAGCAGAGATGCTGACGATGGGGAGGAAGCACACTGGCAGTGGTGAGGCTCCTTCCAGCAGCCGCAGCCCTGGTTCCTCTCAGTATGTGACCCTCACACATCCTTCCCATCTATGAGAGCCTGTAAACTGCTTTTGCTTAACCTTGTTTTAGGTAAGGTTTTAAACAATTGCCACCAGTGTGTCCTAACCACCCCAGTGGCTTGAGTGTTTCTCCGCTTCTCTTGCCTAGGATGCTGCGGAGATGGACAGGACCGGAGACTAAGGAGGTGAGAATCCTGGGCCACACCATCACTGAAGGCCCTTCCTGAGGTCTGCTTCCCACATGAAGTCCTCCCAGGGCCCCGAATCCAGCCATCCACCTCCTTGTT